AGAGAGGGTGGTGCTGCTGCAGTGGGCTGCGTGAGGAGGGTGCTGGGCAGGGGTGACGCTGAAGGAGAGGGACACTGTGCAAGTATGACACTGAGAGAGGGTGATGATGGATGAGGGTGACACCGGGTTGTTGTCATTTTATTTCAAAAGTCTCATACCTTCTCGGTGATTTCTCATGGTCATCTCCTCACAGCACTGACTCCTTCTTCCTCACAACACAACCAGCAAACTCCAACTCTCCCCACAGCACAACCAACTCCATCTCTCCTCACAGCACAACCAACAAACTCCATTTCTCTCCTCACCCAGCTAACCCGCTCTTTTGTAGCACTCATCTTCTTATTGGACACAGCTGTGGCCTATTAAGGGCAAGCCTGTTCCTAATCTTTGGTGATTAGTACAGCTGCAACTCCCCAGGTGTGAGGTTACCTTCTGCACTATTCTCTTACATTCTATCCCTCCACACCGGGTGAGGGTGACACTGCATAGCCCAAATCTGGTGCTCAGCATCCAGTTTTGTCTGGTTTGGCTTAGGGGCTGTTCATGGATGAGCAGTGTTGGGGCTGGGGTCTCCAGAGAGCAGGGACAGGAATGCAGGCTGTGCCCTGCAGCTGAGCCCTCTGCTTGTGTGAGCCAGCTGGCTGGGGACAGCTGTGTCCCCTTCCAGGGCAGGACACAGCTCTGCCCAACCTCACAGTGCTGCCACCTCAGAGCAGGGGTTGTGGGGACATTCCTGGCAGCAGGAGGCTGATGCAGGGCAGTCTGCAGCAGGTGCTGGCTTCCTCCCACAGGCACTACCACAGCATGGACATCTTCACCCACTACGACATCCTGACCCCCAACGGCACCAAGGTGGCCGAGGGACACAAGGCCAGCTTCTGCCTGGAGGACACCGAGTGCGAGGAAGGTGGGTGACATGGGGCCCTGCAGCACTGTCCCTGCTGTGTCCCCATGGTGGGGCCAGGCTGGGGGTCTCACCAGTGTCTCCTCCTGCCTGCAGGCGTGGCCAAGAGGTACGAGTGTGCCAACTTTGGGGAGCAGGGCATCACCGTGGGCTGTTGGGACCTGTACCGGCACGACATCGACTGCCAGTGGATCGACATCACCGACGTCAAGCCAGGCAACTACATCCTGCAGGTGCTGCACCTGACCCTGCCCAGCCCCTCCTGCCACCCTCCCAGCCTCTGTCCCTGCACCTCGGCCCTCCACACACTCCAGCCACCCACCCCTCTCTCCCACTGAAGCTCAGTGTGTGTGCTGGCACTGCCTGTCCTTGTGCCCACAGACTCAGACATGCTGCCACATGGGTTTTCCAACTCTGAGCAGCACTACTCATGGTGCACAGGGACAGGGCCACCCCACCACATCAGCAGCCACTGGCTCCTTGGAGCTCTCCAGCACACCCACGACAGCTGGGGAGACACATCCTGTGGGGCTGGGGTCTGACTGTCTGTGCCCCACAGGTCGTGATCAACCCCAACTTCGAGGTGGCAGAAAGTGACTTCACCAACAATGCCATGAAATGCAACTGCAAGTACGACGGGCACCGCATCTGGGTGCACAGCTGCCACATTGGTAATGGCCTGGGGCATGGCATGGGGGTGAGGGTGGAGGGCAGAGACAGGGCTGCAGGAAGCCATGAGGATGAGGATGGTGCTGCTGGGGGCACCTACAGTGGAAGGTGCTGGCAGGGGATGCACTGCACCAGAGCTGACACCCTCTGCCCTCTGCCTGCAGGAGATGCGCTCAGCGAGGAGGCCAACAAGCGGTTTGAGCAGTACCCAGGTCAGCTCAACAACCAGATTTCATAGAGCCCTGGCCCTGGGGAGACAGGCATCTCCCTCCCTCACCCCATACTGCTGGGAGGAAGCTGCTGGAAGACCAGCAGGGAGGCCTGATGCCCAGTGCTGCTGCCACTGTGTCCTGCCGGGGACTGCCCAGGACTCGCCACTGGCTGCCCTTGCCCACCTTGGTGGGGCTGGTGCTGGAGGCACTGACACCTGCACCTCCCAGCCTGGGGCTGCCACCCCAACCACTGGCCAGAAGAGCGTGCCCACATCCCCTGGGCTGTGGCACATGGGTACAGTCCGGGAGGTCCTGCATCCCTCCCAAACCAGCTGCACCCCAACTCCTACTGCCCCTTTCAGCCCTGGTTCCTCCAGCTCACCCCCTCAGCTGGCCCCAGGGCCCACCACCCACACAGGGCCCCAGGAGCCCCTGGTTCCTCCGGGGATGGTGCAGGTGTCTCTGCCCACAGTGCTGCCCAGGGGTGGCTCCTACCCCATCTCTCAGTTGTAATTTTATTTCCTCTATAAAGTTGTAAGTTCTGTTTCCCAGTGGTTGCTGGCATATCTCTGGGCTGGGATGAGGAGCAGGTGGCAGGGTTCATTCTGCCAGGCTGGTTGCCACCCTGGCACAGTGTGGGAGTATCCCCTGGTCCCTGTAATGCCTCATCCACACAGCCCTGGCCCCACAGCAGCCCCCAGCACCCTCCTCAGCCAGGGCTGGTCCTCTGGGGGAAGCTCAGGTGAGCGAGAGGAAGGGACCAGCAGCAGCCCCACAGCACCGTGTGGGGAGCAACTGAGGAGCAGGGATGTGGGGAAGAGCTGGTTCCACCTCACCAGATCCATGGTGAATGTTACTGAGCAGAAATCCCATCCTGGGGCTGTGACCCTTGAGGATTGGGGTCCACAGGGAATCC